TCACTGTTGAACTTCATTTTGTTAGTTTTGGCCCATCTCTCTAATCTGTCAAGATCGTTTTGAATTCTGCTCCTGTCCTCTGGACCATTGGCTATCCCTCCCAATTTGGTGTCGTCTGCAAACTTGATGATCATGCCTTCTAGCCCTTCATCTAAGTCATTAATAAAGATGTTGAACAGGACCGGGCCCAGGACGGAACCCTGCGGCACTCCACTTGTCACTTCTTTCCAAGATGAAGAAGCATTGGTGAGCACCCTCTGGGTTCGTCCATTTAACCAATTACAGATCCACCTCACCGTAGTTTTGCCTAGCCCACATTGGACTAGTTTCCTTGCCAGAAGGTCATGGGGGACCTTGTCGAAGGCCCTACTGAAATCCAGGTACGCTACATCGCCAGAAGGTCCTTGTCGAAGGCCTTACTGAAATCCAGGTACGCTACATCCACGGCATTCCCCGCATCTACCAGCTTGTAAGCTCTATCGAAGAAAGAGATCAGATTAGTCTGGCATGACTTGTTTTTGATAAATCCATGTTGACTATTAGCGATGACTGCATTTGTTTCTAAGTGTTTGCAGACCGCTTCCTTACCAATCTTTTCCAGAATCTTGCCCGGTATCGACGTGAGGCTGACCGGACGGTAGTTGTTTGGGTCATCCTTTTTTCCCTTCTTGAAGATTGGGACCACATTGGCCCTCCTCCAATCTGCTGGAACTTCTCCCGTTCTCCAAGAACTCTCAAAGATGGTTGCCAATGGTTCCGAAATGACTTCCGCTAGTTCCTTCAATACTCTGGGGTGTCGTTGATCTGGCCCTGGGGACTTGAACTCATTAAGAGCGGCCAGGTATTCCTGGACGACTTGTTTCCCAATTTGGGTGGATGTCCTCTAATCCCTCATCCACTTGCTGAGGTTGAAGATGACTTTCTTTTTGTGAGAAGACCGAGGCAAAGAAGGCATTAAGTAGTTCTGCCTTTTCCCTATCCCCTGTCAGCATTGCCCCATCTTTTCCTCGAAGAGGCCCTATCGTTTCCTTGTTTTTCCTTTTTCTACTGACATAAGAAGCTTTTTCATATGACAGTAGTTTGAATATTCCTTTCCTAAGAAAGCCACAGGATTTCCATCCACACACACACACACACATACATCACATATGTACACACCCAACAGGTATTTATGCTCACAATGATTTAAATCACCTTTCCTTGGAAAAAAGTGCAGTTGACACAATTGCTCTTGGATATTCCCATGCTCTGCTCTCCTTCCTTCCTTCCTTCCTTCCTTCCTTCCTTCCTTCCTTCTTCTTCCTTCTTGTTCTTCCTCCTCCCTTCCTTCCTTCCTTCTCTTCCTTCCTTCTTCCTTCCTTCTTTCCTTCCTTCCTTCCTTCCTTTTCCTCCTTCCTTTCTTCCTTCTTTCTCCTTCCTTTCTTTCTCTCTTCTCCTTCCTTTCCTTTCCTTCCTTTCCTTCCTTCCTTCCTTCTTCCTTCCTTCCTTCTTCCTTCCTTCCTTCTCTTCCTTCTTCCTTCCTTCCTTCCTTCCTTCTTTCCTTCTACTTCCTTCCTTCCTTCCTTCCTTCTCCTTCCTCCTTCCTTCCTTCCTTCTTTCCTTCTTCCTTCCTTCTTTCTCCTTCCTTGCTTCCTTCCTTTGTGATCCGGCTGCAGGTAACACACTTTACCTATAGTCATGGCTGGGATTTGTAGTTTGCTGAGGCACCAGCACTTTGGGGCAGAGAAGGCCGAGACCTTGTGAAACTACAATTCCCAAAGCCTCCATAACATTGAGCCACAGCAGCTAAAATGGTGTTAAACTGCATTAATTCTATTGTCGAAGGCTTTCATGGCTGGAATCACTAGGCTGTTGTGTTTTTTCTGGGCTGTATGACCATGTTCCAGAAGCATTCTCTCCTGATGTTTCGCCTGCACAACCTCTCAGGATGCCTGCCATAGATGCAGGTGAAACATCAAGAGAGAATGCTTCTGGAACATGGCCACACAGCCCGGAAAACACACAACAACCCTGCATTAATTCTACTGTGGATGAATTCTACAACCCCAGTGCTCTCCAGTTTCACGAGTTTGATGTCTTTCCAAAAGAGATCACACCGATTAGCCTGCCTAAGCTCAAGGCGGTCTCGTAAGGGACCGTGGACAACACCCAGCCGAGCCAGAAAAGGCAAAAAATAAAAAATTAAAAATACCCATCTGAAAGCAAAACACATATGAATAACAGCTTCCTCCTCCTCTCCATTAAGTAAGATCTGTTTGTTTAATCGCAAATAAAACCAGGAGCAAACACCCAAAGACGGAAGGGTGACGGAGGGAATAACCCGGCCTTTGCTTATTCGGCAAAGGGATGACGAATCACTTGGCAAACAAGTCTCTCTCCGATGGCACTCTGAAAGGGGCATCTAGTGCCCACTTGCCCAAGCTTGCCCAATACGAGAGATGGCAACCTGCTATGGAGAGGGCAGAAATGGAGGGCAACGTCCCCTGGATAAGAACTCTTATCCTCACTCATCCTCCTGGAGAGTTGTAGTTCACCTACATCCAGAGAGCACTGTGGACTCAAACAATGATAGATCTGGACCAAACTTGGCACAATACTCAATATGCCCAAATGTGAACACCGGTGGAATTTGGGGAAAATAGACCTTGACATTTGGGAGTTGTAGTTGCTGGGATGTATAGTTCACCTACAATCAAAGAGAATTCCGAACCACAGCAATGATGGAATTGAACCAAACTTGGCACACAGAACTTCTATGACCAGCAGAAAAAACTGGAAGGGTTTGGTGGGCATTGACCTTGAGTTTGGGAGTTGTAGTTCACCTACATCCAGAGAGCACTGTGGACTCAAACAATGATAGATCTGGACCAAACTTGGCACGAATACTCAAATGACCAAATGTGAACACTGGTAGTGTTTGGAGGGAAATAGACCTTGACATTTGGGAGTTGTAGTTGCTGGGATTTATAGTTCACCTACAATCAAAGAGAATTCTGAACTCCACTGATGATAGAATTGGACCATACTTCCCACACAGAACCCCCATGCCTTGAAGAGACTCACTGGCGCGAGCCTCCCTCCAGCCCCACACGTTCTCCCTCGTCCGTTCATGCGCATTATACTGCTATGCGCTGAGCATGCCTGCTCTCCCCTCCCTGCTTGGAGTCTCAGAAACAGCCCTCTCCTTGGCTGAGAGGCCAGCCAATCACAACAGAGGAGGGTTTTGAGTTGTAGTTCACCAACAGCAAAAAGGAAGAGAAAGACAGGCGGAGAGATCTTCAGCCTTCTCTGCCAAAGGGTTCCTAAGACCATCAGAAATATGTGTCTTCTGGTGGTCTTTGGTGACCCATCTGAAACCCCCCTCGTGACCTCTCCAGGGGTTCTGACCCCTAGGTTGAGAAACTGTTCTAAAACAACATATCTGCAGATGGGACACAACTGGGAGAGAGAGCTAGGGTAATATCCCAGAGGACAGGGTCATGATCCGAAGGGAGACCTGAGCAAGACGAACAAAATGAGAAATGTGCATTACTGCAATAGAAAAATGAAATGCAGAGATATAGGATAGGTGACAGACACCTGGTTTGCAAACAATCCAAGTGCAAGGGACCTAAGCGTCTTAATAAACGACAAGAGGAATGTGAGCCCACAATGTGATGTGGCAGCGAAACAGCCCAACGCGATTCTAGGCTGCATCAAAAGGAGCGCAGTGTCGAGATTTAGGGAAATCAAATTCCCACTCTGTTTTGCTGCAGTTGAAACTCACTAGAATCATAGAATCATAGAATCAAAGAGTTGGAAGAGACCTCATGGACCATCCAGTCCAACCCCATTCTGCCAAGAAGCAGGAATATTGCATTCAAATCACCCCTGACAGATGGCCATCCAGCCTCTGTTTAAAAGCTTCCAAAGAAGGAGCTCTACCACACTCCGGGGCAGAGAGTTCCACTGCTGAACGGCTCTCACAGTCAGGAAGTTCTTCCTCATGTTCAGATGGAATCTCCTCTCTTGTAGTTTGAAGCCATTGTTCCGCGTCCTAGTCTCCAAGGACGCAGAAAACAAGCTTGCTCCCTCCTCCCTGTGGCTTCCTCTCACATATTTATACATGGCTATCATATCTCCTCTCAGCCTTTTCTTCAGGCTAAACATGCCCAGCTCCTTAAGCTCCTCATAGGGCTTGTTCTCCAGACCCTTGATCATTTTAGTCGCCCTCCTCTGGACACATTCCAGCTTGTCAATATCTCTCTTGAATTGTGGTGCCCAGAATTGGACACAATATTCCAGGTGTGGTCTAACCAAAGCAGAATAGAGGGGTAGCATTACTTCCCTAGATCTAGACACTATGCTCCTATTGATGCAGGCCAAAATCCCATTGGCTTTTTTTGCCGCCACATCACATTGTTGGCTCATGTTTAACTTGTTGTCCACGAGGACTCCAAGATCTTTTTCACACATACTGCTCTCGAGCCAGGCATTGTCCCCCATTCTATATCTTTGCATTTCGTTTTTCCTGCCAAAGTGGAGTATCTTGCATTTGTCACTGTTAAACAATAACCCTGTGTCCAGTTCTGGGCAAAACAATCCAAGAAGGAGATGGAGAAGATGGAATATGTCCAGAGAAAGGAGATCGAAAAGTCAACAATGAATCCTGAAATCTCTCTGCTGGGAATTGTAGTTCCCTCCCCAAAAGGAAACACCTGCCAGGTGGCTGGGAGACTTTGCCCCGCAATGAGTCAAGCCCGTATGCTAGAGCGTTGCAGAGGCCGAAGGGCAAAGCTCATGCGGTTTCGTTTTTTAAGCCTGTGGCCGATGCACTTTCTCCCCAGAATCATAAACACATTCCAGTCTCCAGCTTGAAGGCCTCTTTGCCTCATCATCCCGGCTTGGCTGCTTTTTATTGTGCTGCCTAAACCTTTGCCGGGCCTTCCGCTCCAGGAATGCAGTAGAGTCGAACTGGAGGAGCTACGAAATGCCTAGAAAGGGGATGTGTTTTGCCTTACCTTGAGGTGCCCGGCGTGCATGAGGGCTCGCTCGCACATCTGGAGGAAATATTTCAGGTTGGACTCATCCACAATGATATAGACGGCCACTTTACGCTTGAAGCCGGCCTCAATGAGGTCCTTGAAGATGTCCACGTCGGTGAACATGTCCATGACCACGGCAATAACCTGCAGAGACAGCAAAACAAGGCAGTTAACTTTGCCACCGAGGCTGAGAGAGTGTGACCCACCCAATGGGTTTCCATTTCCGAACAGGGATTCGAACCCAATCCTTGGATGGGAGGCCAGCGATTAATACCAGCCTGTATTTCGAAAGAAGGAATTTCTCTGCTCTTTGAACGTTTCGGACTTGCACCCTCGATTGTGGCAAAATAGACTGCTCTTGAATGAGGAAGCTCTGTTCCATTCGCTCCCACTTTTAGTGTCACCTTTGCTTTGCCTGCCCCACTCCATTTTATCCTTTTTAGTTTTAGGGAGTTGTACTTGCTGGGATTTATAGTTCACCTAAAATCTAAGAGCATTCTGAACTCCATCAAAAATGGAATTGGACCAAACTAGGCACGGACACTCAATATGGCCAAATGTGAACATTGGCGGAGTTTGGGGGAAAATAGACCTTGACATTTGGGAGTTGTAGTTGCTGGGATTTATAGTTCGCCTAAAATCAAAGAGCATTCTGAACTCCATCGAAGATGGAATTGAACCAAACTTGGCACACAGAACTCCCATGACCAACAGAAAATACTGGGAGGGTTCGGAGAGCATTGACCTTGAGTTTGGGAGTTGTAGTTCACCTACATCCAGAAAGTGGACTGAAACAATGATGGATTTGGACCATACTTGACACGGACACTCAATACTCCCAAATGTGAACACTGGTGGGGTTTGGAGGGAAATAGACCTTGACATTTGGGAGTTGTAGTTGCTGGGATTTATAGTTCACCTACAATCAAAGAGCATTCTGAACCCCACCGATGATAGAATTGGGCAAAACTTCCCACACAGAGGCCCCATGACCAACAGAAAATACGATGTTTTCCGATGGTCTTTGGATACCCCTCTGACATCCGACTGCTACAGGGTCCTGACCCCCAGGTTGAAAAACACTGCTTAACCACGACCCTGCGAGGAAGGCCTTGCCAAACTATAGATCTCATAGTCATGAGCTATGGTCCTTCAAGTAGTACCAAATCACATTTGTCCGGAGTATCAGTGCAACCTCCGTCCGGTATTCAACTCTTTATATTTTGGGAAACTACAACTCCCTAGGCTCTGTTGATTGGCCAAAGATCTAACTCAAGTTTCCTGTCCTGTCTCGTGGAAGGCCTGTTGACTTGGGACGGATCATGCCCCAAGACTTTTTATTGCCTCTTCCTCACTTCCTTGTGGTTTTCCTTTTTAACCGGCCCGATTACGTTTCGTACTCGGAGCCTTTGATTCGGAGATAATAATCAAAGGTGGCCCAGATGCAAAAGGCTCATTAAAACCCATCCGGGCTTCCTCTCTGTAGGAGGCAGGGAGGCGGCCGCTTCGCCCACACAGCTCCAGTTGGGAAACTGAGGCACGCCGCAAAGGCTGGGTGCAAACAGCGGGAAATGCCAACATCCAGCTTCTGATGTTCTCTCCCGACATTCTTCGGGAGCGTCTTCCTGAACTCCTGGCCCTTTAATCATCTCTACAGCCGTTCATAATAACAGCTGGTAGCCTCTTTGTGTCACCCTACGCATTGTTAAACTGTGGAACTCACTGCTACAAGATTGTACATCATTCCACTATGGAACTCACAGCTAAAAAATTCCGCATACTTAAACTATGGAACTTACTGCCACAGAATTGCATAGAGGAAGCCATAAAATAGCTAATAGTTAAGCTATGGAACTCATGACCACTGGACTGCAGAGGAACTAATTGCCACAAAATTGAACATTGTTAAACTATGGAACTCACTTCCACAAAACTGCATGTACTTAAGTTTGGAACTCAGTTCCATAGTACTGAAAATAACGAAGCTATGGAACTCACTGCTAAAGGATTGTATATCGGGGAACTATGGAATTAATTACTACAAGATTGTCCATAGTTCAATCATGGAAGTGACTGCCTCAAAATTGTGTACAAGCCATAGAGCTCAGTGCCACAAAACTGTGCTTTGTTAAACTCTGGAACTCTCTACCACAAGATTATATACAGTTACACAGTTGCACTCACACCACAAAACTAAACAGAGTTAAGTTATGGAACTCACTGCCACAAGAGTGTATAAAGTGAAATTGTGGACTGCCACACGGTTGTGCTTTGTTAAAGTATGGAACTCGCTGCCACAAGATTACATACAGTTAAACAGTGGAACAAGATTATGTATAGTTAAACAGTGAAACTCACTGTCACAAGATTATATATGTGTATACGTGTGTGTATACACAAACACAGATACACATGCATACTATGGAACTGACTGCCACAATATGGGATTCACTGCCAAAATGCTATATGTATGCACATGCATTTGTGTATCTATATACACACACACAAAAATACATAATACATACATACCATGGAACTCAATTCGCAAGATTATATATATATGTGTGTGTGTGTGTGTGTGTATAGAGAGAGGGGGGTTAAGCTGTGGAACTCATTGTCACAAGATTACATATATAGTTAAACTATGGAACTCACTGCCCCAAGATTATATAGAGAGAGAGGGAGATGGAGAGAGAATTAAGCTGTGGAACCCATTGTCACAAGATTACATATATAGTTAAACTATGGAACTCACTGCCACAAGATTAGAGAGAGAGAAAGAGGGAGGGGGAGAGAAGGAGAGAGAGAGAGAGTTAAGCTGTGGAACTAATTTTCACAAGATTACATATATAAACTATGGAACTCACTGCCACAAGATTATATAGAGAGAGGGGGGAAAGGGGGGAGAGAGAGTTAAGCTGTGGAACTCACTGTCACAAGATTACATATATGGTTGAACTATGCAACTCACTGCCACAGGATTATAGAGAGAGAGAAGGAGGGAAGGGGGGAGAGGGGGGGAGAGTTAAGCTGTGGAACTCACTGTCACAAGATTACATATATAGTTAAACTATGGAACTCACTGCCACAAGATTATATGTGTGCATATATGTATACACACATTTTACTTACTTTACTTTACTTACTTACAGTCCATCGAGGGGGATACACACATATATGCACATACATACTAGAAAACTCATTGCCACAAGATTATATATACAGTAAAACTATGGAACTCATTGCCACCAGGTAATGTTTGAATTTATACCCACTTGGATTTGCTAGAAGACCATGGCTCACAAATCTGGCTTTTTGGCTACCATCTGACAACAGGATTAATGGGCAAAAGGTTTGCACAAACCTGGTTAGGTCAACAGTAACCAGAGTTGGCAAGCAAAGGCCGCCCTGTTTGCTTTCAAGATCTGGCATGTGTTTACTTGCGATAGTTGTCCTGTTTGGAAACACCAAACAGCATTCTGATCCACTTCCCTTTAAAGAGGCAAAAGTTCCCTTTTGGATTCAGGGCATTTTCAAAAAATTCCCAGGCTTCTACAGCCGGTATGCTGTTCTCTTGCATTCCTTGCAGTTCAAGAGGACAGAAGGGGAAAGAGATTGGCACAAAGGCAATTAGAACCAGTTTGCTGACCTCAGGCGGGTTTTTCACTTTCCGCATAATTCATTAATTCACATCATTGTGTGCAAAGGATGCAAATCCGCGTGGAACTTGCTTACTTTGTGTTATTACCTCTTGGCAATTATGTATTTCCTTCTTAAACCCTACTCTGCGATTTCTCCCTTGCTGTGTACGTTGCATTGACATGCATAGAATGTATTTTGGGAGTTGTAGTTTTTGCAAGGTCTTGAGCCATTTCTAAAATGAGTGCAAACTAGAACTCCCAGGATCCTATAGCATCGAGTCATGGCAGTGCACTCATTTGACAAGAGAGTGTTTGCCCATTGCCTTCCTTCAAAATAGAACTTGGTCCTTATTGGTGGTCTCCCATCCAAGGGCCAACCAGGTCTGACCCTGTTTAGCATCCAAGTCCTGTTGACTAACAGATGGCCATGCATTCATTTGACAAGAGAGTGTTTGGCCATTGCCTTGAAGGAAACAGAGCTTGGTACTTATTGTCGGTCTCCCATCCAACAGCCAACTAGGTCTGACCCTGCTTAGCATCCAAGTCCTGTTGACTAACAGATGGCCATGCATTCGTTTGACAAGAGAGTGTTTGACCATTGCCTTGAAGGAAATAGAGCTTGATACTTATTGTCGGTCTCCCATCCAGGGACCGTCTAGGTCTGACCCTGCTTAGCATCCAAGTCCTGTTGACTAACAGATGGCCATGCATTCGTTTGACAAGAGAGTGTTTGGCCATTGCCTTGAAGGAAATAGAGCTAGGTACTTATTGTCAGTCTCCCATCCAAGGAACGACCAGGTCTGACCTTGCTTAGCATCCAAATCCTGTTGACTAACAGATGGCCAAAAACTTGGCAGTCAAAGCAGTGCCAAACTGCATCAATTCCACAATGTAGAGGTGCCCACAGCTGTTAGTCAGCAAGGACTTGAATGCTAAGCAGGGTCGCCCCTGGTTGGCACTTGGATGGGCATTGTGAGGATATCTGCAAAAAACTTGGTAACTATCCCATACATTTATTTGCATGGTCTCCCATCCAAGGACCGACCAGGTCTGACCCTGCTTAGCATCCAAGCCCTGTTGACTAACAGATGGCCAAAGACTTGACAGTCAAAGCAGTGCCAAACTGCATCAATTCCATACATTTATTTGCATGGTCTCCCATCCAAGGACCGACCAGGTCTGACCCTGCTTAGCATCCAAGTTCTGTTGACAAACAGATGGCCAAAAACTTGGCAGTCAAAGCAGTGCCAAACTGCATCAATTCCATACATTTATTTGCATGGTCTCCCATCCAAGGACCGACCGGGTCTGACCCTGCTTAGCATCCAAGTCCTAAAGAATGCCAAACTGTATCAATTCCACAGTGTAGAGGCACCCACAGCTGTTCGTCAACAAGAACTTGAATGCTAAGCAGGGTCGGCCCTGGTTGGCCCTTGGATGAGCATTTTGAGGATATCTGCAAAAGACTTGGTACTTATCCCATACATTTTTTTGCATGGTCTC